AAATTACCTAGGAAGTGTAATAAGTTAATTTAATTTTTTTGTGCTTTAAAAACATTGTAAGTACCACAGAAATTTGCTAATAATATTATTAAATTAAAAATATTTATTTGTAACAAATAATTATGATTTTTTTTTTTTTGTCCCGTTTTGATTAAAAAAATATATGGTCACTTTAGCCATGGCACTGTTGGCAGAATTCACGAATGTAGATATATCCACAGATATCAGCTGTGGAGTGTAGAATAGTGTGGATATATTATCTTAATTCGTGGTCTGCAAGAAGCAAGATACACAATTATTAAATAATAAATATTAGGTTTAGATTTAGATCATCATTATATGATTTAAGACGTTAGGTCGTTAGGTAATAAAAATGACTAGTCCGCTATAAAAATAGTTAGGTAGTTAGGTTTTAAGTAATCTATGACAATAGTTTAAGACGACTAACGATTTGAACGATTCCAAATTTCAACTTCCATTATACACTCGTTCTATTCTTGTTATTTTGCTATATTCTTAAACTTAAATATCTTTTGGATCGGATTTTAACATTAACATATTAATATGTCTATGGATTTTAAGATGTGCACTGCATTTCCCTTGGTAACCTAACCTAACCTTGGCACCGCTTTAACACTAGACTATCTAGACAATAATTTATTGAATCTACGAACTAAAGTGCGGTAAAAAAAGACCCGCGAAAAAAAGTCCGGTGAACAAACGTCCGGTTTTAATATACATATGTCGTACAAGAAAACATTAATGTTATTCAAAATAATAGCAATAATTTATAATACAATTATTACAATCAATATTATAGGTAGGTACAATAAAAATAAAAATATGACATTATATTTTTTGGTCAGATTGATTGTTACTTTTAAATAAAAATAAAATTTCATGTCTTACAAGAAAACATTAATCACTTTGGTCGTGTCCTATTGTCCTAATAGTATGTCCAACTTGAGTTAAAAATTCTTCAACACTTAGCTCGGAGTTATGAATTCCTAATCAAAAAATTATAATGTCTATTTTATGTAATATTTTAATTTTTGTTGTACCTACCTATAACATTGATTGTAATAATTCTATTATAAATTATTGCTATTATTTTTAATAACATTAATGTTTTCTTGTACGACATATTATTATGTATAATAAATAAACCGGACTTTTATTACATTGGACTTTTTTTCGTGGGTCTTTTTTTACCGGACTTTTGTTTGCCGGAATTTTATTCCCCGGACTTTTAGGTAGAATACTAGAATACCCAATAATTATACACTTGTAAGTACTAAGTTGTGGCTACGTGTTTCGCCGAATTGACATAAGATAAATATCATAATTCTTATACTTTTTTGACGACGTAGACTTAAAATAAATATTTATTGTCAATCTGCTGATATGCATGTTGGTGTAGAGGACTTTTGAAAAATCTTGTTGCAGGTGTACTAACGTTGTGATATTATGAAAATTATTTTAAGATATTATACCTACTTTATCCTATATTGTAATTAAACAAATTCACAGTTTGACATAAAATAGAAATTTTTCATGTTATTTTTACGTTTTTCCAAAAACATCATATACAATATATTTAATTTGGAATTAAATATAATATTTATTGTTCAGTGGTCATTTGGAGATAAATACTAAAATTATAAATATAAATAAAAATAAAAATTTTTTGTGAGAGGAACACGATTAGGTAATTACTCTTAATATTAAAATTTAAAGTATTGATCATTTTTAACAATTAAAATAAAATAATTTATAATTTAATAGATTTTAATTACCTAATAACATTCATTATAGTTTCTACTTATGGATCTATTAAAAAATATTTTTTACGAAAAAAATCTAAAAATTTAAAACAAAGATTCACTAAAATTGATCTTAAAACAGCCAAAATACCAAAAATATCTACATACCAAATAAAATTTTGTCAGAATTGGATATTTAAAAAAAATTGTATTTAATAGGTCTCCGTTCTACATAATATGACGTAATACCTATTAAAATGTTGTTATTTTTTCAGGAGTTATTTATTTGGAGAATCATAATTTCTTTCCAAATTCTCATTGAGTAAACATGAGGAATGCTCTAAAATTGATTAAATTATTTTTAAGTATTTTTGAATAGCGAAGAAATTAATAATTGTAACGAATTATACCCTTAAAGCATAAAATATGCATTTTTCGAGGGTTTGGTTGTTAAAATATGTAATAATATTCATATTTTTTTCAAAATATGCATTTGATCTTAAATATGCTAAGATATGCACAAAACAAAAAAATATCACCATTAAACTCATCATGGGATGATTCGAGGACTTCACTAACAAAACTACAGTAGTAAGAACTAAGAAGTTACAAAAAATTATACCGATGCATATAATTCATTAATTCCTAATCTCTAATCATAACTCATTAACGTCTAATGATACTAATATCTACATTAGGTTTCGGTATAATATAATATAATATAATATAATAGATTATATAACTAGGGTTTAGGTGCAATGAAACGGTAGAATTTTCAGATCCTGATTCAGACCAATTTGAATTATTGAATTGTGCTCCTCTAAATAGTAGATATCACTTAATAACGAATGTGAACAAGTTTAATTATTCCGTTGAGTTTGAATATTTCTAAATCTTCCAAAGAATGTTCCACGATTCGTATTACCAATATTGTTCAAATTCATAGGCGTGTCCACGGGCCATGCCTGTCATGCACAGGCATGACCTGCAAATTTGATCAAATTTGCATAGTACATTTTGATGCATAATATGAACCTTTTTTTCTCAATTTCTATTTTCATATTAAATTTTTTATTTTTCATCATGTGTATAATTCAAATGCCCAAACCCTAACAGAAATATTTATTTTTTATTTTTTATTTTTTTTTTTTTGGGGGGGGGGATTGGCAGTTTCCCCATCCCCTAGATATGCCACTGTTGTGCAATTTGTGCATGACCTGCGAATGAGGTCTGAACATGCCTATGTTCAAATTGTTCAATAACACTTTTGTTGGAACAAGCTGACTTTGGAAAGTAAAGATTATGGAACAAATAATCGTAGTGATTGACGCACCACGTTTTTCATTCCATGACTTTTGATTAAAATGGTTGACCACTTATGTTATTATAACATACTCCAAATAGTCCAAATTCGAATTCGACATTTCGACAGCGTTGGCCGCAAAGACGCCAAGTAGTAATAAGTGACTATAAGTAAGTTAGATAGCTGATTTGCCTTTCTACTGTCGTAACTCTTAAATAGTTAAATGGTGATTGTTAATTATTAAATGTGAATTGTGTTCTGTTATTCTGTTTGTGTTTAAACCGCTACAAATCAACTATCAAGTCTTTTAGTCTTTATAGGCGCATAAGGCATAACACTATCTGGCGCATGTGTGTGTGTGTGCGCGTGTGTGTTTGTTTATGTGTGCGAGAGTAAGTAATAAGTATCAAGTGACTCGAGAGCCGATTCATCGATTGACTGTAAGTTAAACTAGTGCCAATGGTTAGCGTTGGTGGTTAACTACCGACCACCGTCAAAGTTTACTGTAAGACCTCGAGTAATACGAACGCCGTACGATGACTCAATTCCTGCCGCCCAATTTGCTGGCGCTTTTCGCGCCGAGGGACCCAATCCCTTACCTACCGCCAGTCGCCAAGCTGCCGCACGAGAAGAAGACTCGTGGCTATTTGGGCGTTGGAAGTTTTATGGATCTGTTCGAAGTGAGTTTGGCTGAACTACCTATATATAAATAAATAATTTTGTTAAGTTGATACTTCTGGTGTTATTGTTTTTTGTACCTTCTTACCGATTATAATCGCGTCATGTTGTTGCTCTGCTCTGCAGGACCCCGAAGACACGCCTCCTCCGACAAAAATTGAAACCAGAGAAGAACGACTAGAGCGTCGTCGTCGTGAGAAAGCTGAACAAGTAGCATACAAGTTAGAACAAGAAATCGCGCTATGTAAGCACCGCATTGACACTGTCTTTGTTTATACAGCACCACGTGTGGGGTATGAATAATAATTTGTTCTTATTCTGTTTCAGGGGAACCACATTCAGTTGCAAATGCTACAACAGATCCATTTAAAACATTGTTTGTTGCTAGAATTGTAAGTTATTTTGTAGTGTTTACAGATTGTATAATTTTTCTTTATTATTATTCTATATTTCTTATTTGGTTTTAGTTCCTTATACAAAATTACTATAACAAATATTTACTTTTAATCCTAAGAAAATTATAATTTAATACTTAAGAAGTTTTAATCATTTAACAATATTTATTTACACAAACTCTTAGGTAGAAATATAGAAATCAATAAATATAATTTTTAATTTAGTAGACAGAATAAAACTCCTTAATTTACCATTACTTCTTCATTATTAAAAATATCAAAAAACAGAATACATTTTCTCTCAAAGACTTATTAAAAAACAAAAATAATTAAAACATTTATTGCTACACTAAATATTATAATTTGTTATTTGGTTCTGTAATATTGATTATTACTATAAATGTTACTTAATCTTTCAATTTGATGATGATGGCGAGTTTTATATGACAGAATGACAGATATTACACAACTAATTGTTCTATTAGAATAGCAATCAATATAATAGACAAAGGACTACGATTACAGCTAATGACCCTAATACATCTAAATATTTCTATGTTCTCTTTGAGTATTTGATTGTGCCTACTTAGTTTTAATTAGTTAAAGGTAATGTTTTTATTGCAATTGATTGTTTCAGAATTATGATACTTCTGAATCAAAATTACGAAGAGAATTTGAACTTTATGGTCCTATAAAAAAGGTAAATTATTGCAATTATTTTATTTAAACATTCTGTACTTTCTATTAACTTAATATTTTATTTTATTTTTATAGATTGTTGTCACACATAATAAGATAGATGGTAAACCCAGAGGGTATGCTTTCATTGAGTACGAATATGAACGTGATATGCATTGTAAGTAATTAACAATATGTTTATTTTTGTTTTCAAAAATTGACCGGGTGGTCACAAATGGCGAATGTTGAGGTCAAATTCTACCAAAATTGATTTTACTGGCTTATGAATATTTAAAAAAAAAATTTTGATTACAACTTATGTGCCTGGGTATTTAATTTTTTATTTCATGATCATTTAAAAATATTTATTTTATGAGTTATTGCTATACAAAAAAAAAAATGCTCATTTATCTAGTTTTAGAGCACTGTGTATGGGTCTGCTATATTATGCCAAAAAAGTAACTTTAACATTTTGTATATTTGATTTCAATAGGTATCTCATTTTTAAATTTTTTATTTGAATACATATTAGAGTCTCGGCTGTCTCCCTTTATATTATGTTTAGGATTTAAGTATATTTAAATATTGGTTCCAAATTAAAAATAAATACAAAGTTTAAGTAAATTGTGATAATATAGATGTCTTATGTTTTTGGAAAAATAATTCCAATGTTTCTATCTTGCTATTCATCGGTAAACATAATTGGCATCTTCACATAGATCATTTCCATCTTAAATTAAGAGAACATAGACAATGTCTTATTAAATTTATTAATTGCATAAACAAATACAATCTGTGGTAAAACATTAAAAAAAAATTAAAAATTTAATACGTTGCACAAATTTATCTTCATAGTGAACACAAATTAAACAAAACATAATAAATATTAAATGTACTCACTTTTTGCCACAGTTAAATTTTCATTGTGTCATGCAAAATTATAATATTTATAACATACATATATTGCTTTCCCCAACCAGTCGTATCATAAGAAGATGAGGGTCGTATTAGCTTGGGTTGGCCTCTAATATATCTATGTTGTAGTTATTATTAATTATTTGTTTTTTTTTTTTTATACCGTGTGTTCAATTTTAAAGGTAACAGGAAATATTTCGATCGTGTGACCTTGAATTTGATTCGGGGTTTTTATACTACTTATAGGACTTATAAATACATATTTTTTTAATAAATTCAAATTTTTAATTTTTTTTTATCAGCGCATGCGCAGTAAAATAAAAATTTCTTAAATAGCAACCACTACTTT